CCGTCATTGTTGTTTGGCTGGTCCGGGCTGGGGATTCGAACCCACCACCTTAGGTGTATGTGGCTGGCGCCTTAGCCACTTGAGCCACAGGCACCGAGCCTTCTGTCAATTCTTTATAGGTGGAGTCCTCTGCAGTAGCTGCTTCATGGTTCCTTGAGGGAGATGTTTTGTTTTGCTTTTTCATGTTGCCTGAATTTTTCTGTTGGTTCCTCCTCATGTGTTTTCTTATTGTTTTTTACTTCTTACTACCTCCTTTATTTCAAACAGAAGTTCTTAGTCTGGATGACAGTATATTGCTGGGACACCAGGTGTGCAGTGGTTTTTTTAGGAGATAGAGAGCACAGCCAGCAACCTCTATGGTCCTTATTCCAAACTTAGTCACCTTCAGTGATTGCTTGATTGTTTCCTCCCAGGTTGGGTTCTTAAAACTCACAAGAATCCTTTGGGGTAGGTCTCACAGTGCCCTCTGACTCCAGTTTCTGTGGGGTGTGGGAGTCCCGCAGCCTGTTCTAAGAGTGGAGTTCTGATTCCAGCAGGCAGAATTAAGATAGCTATGTTTAGGCTCCTGCTAAGACCTTCTCTCGACCTTACCACAATGGCAGCCCCCTGGCCACTGAGACCTTCTCAGTATGGCTGCCTCATCAGCCACCAATCCTTTGGCAAGTCCACTCTAATGGCATTCAAATCTTTGCTATATACCGTTTGAGTCCGCCTACTCTTCCAAGCTTTCCAGTCAACACGCAGCTTCCCCCAACAACTGAAAATTCCAGAAAGGCTCCTGTTGTCCGGTTCCTCCTCCGTGTGGGGCCAGCTGATCCCAGCCAGTCGCAATCACTTTCCATCACTCCGGATCATATGCTATATCCAGCTCACCGCCTCCTTGCTGTGCTCCCTGAACTATTGCTCTGGGTAAGGTCCCCACATCAAGTATGGCTGGGTTCTCTCTTTTTCCCCAGTCTTTCTACAAGACTTCAGCTGAATGATCCTTCTGGTCTCTCATCTTCCTCTACCCCTCTTTTCATGCAATTTTTTTTTAAGAAATTAGGTGAATTGCAGGATTATTCTTTTGTATACAGTTGCTTCCACCCTCCATGATGTCTGTCAGATCCATCCATGTTCTTCTATGTAACAGTAACATGTCCTATTTTTATCGCTCAGTTTATTTCATTATGTGAGTATACCACGATTTTTTTTCACTCTCAAAAACAAAGAAGAGAAATTAAGTGATGTGACCTATGAAATTCCAAAAATTCAAAATGTAGCAAATTGTATCCTCATGGGGTCATCTGATGCATAATTTCTGTTCTAATTGATCATTAGATTTAGAGGGTTAATTAGGGTCATGTTCAGTTTTGGGTCAAGAATCCTGAATAAGCAATGCATTGCTCTTCTTGTCACTTCTTAGGAACAGATAGGTAACATCTGACTGTCCTCTTTTTTGGTGGTGAAGATCACAGAGTAGGTTTAGTCATCCCATTATGATCTTCCATTGTAGTATTCCTCATCCAATCTTCCACTTAATGATTTTAGTAGCTAGTGATAATGACTGTTTAAATCTGTTATGGTGGCTTTCTAATTCTAGCAGTTTTTTCTCAATTATTAACTGTGTTTCATCTATGAAGAAGAATTTTTCCTCCTGTATGGTTACCCTAAAATATAGTTCCTATGGGAAAGACAGAATTCTTTCCCTGGAATCCCTAGTATATTTCAGTGTTTTATCATTTGAAGGTGTTAGACACATTTGCTTAATACTAACACATGAGGACCTTTGAAGGTTGAGCAGAAATAGGAAAAAGAATCAATGCCTGTGTAGTTTAAATCAGTGAGAAAATAGCATTTAATCTACTGATTATGAAATAGTAATTGCATTTTTTTTTAAAAGTGTGCCTACGGCTCGGCGCCTGTGGCTCAAGCGGCTAAGGCGCCAGCCACATACACCTAAGGTGGCGGGTTGGAATCCCCAGCCCGGCCCGCCAAACAACAATGATGGCTGCAACCAATGATGGGCCAGGCGTTGTGGCGGGCGCCTGTAGTCCCAGCTACTTGGGAGGCTGAGGCAGGAGACTCGCTTGAGCCCAGGAGTTGGAGGTTGCTGTGAGCGTGATGCCATGGCACTCTACCCAGGGGGACAGCTTGAGGCTCCGTCTCAAAAAAAAAAAAAAAAAAAAGTGTGCCTACTAAGATATCTATACAGGGAATCTGCAGGGTTATAGTCCAGAGAAAAACACAGAAATAAACACTGCATTTTTCTAGGAACCTTGGCTTAGTTGCATAAAGTTAATATTAAAAGTTACTTGGGCATACAGAACAGGGAGCTAAAAGGATTCTTAATCTATTTTTATTTGTAGCTATCAACCGGTTCAAGCCTCGTCAGCATCTGTAACCGAGAACTTTCTTCCTCTGCAGGACCTTTCTGCCTTCCCCTCAAGGGGGTATAAGGTACTTGGTTTTCCCTTGTTTGGTGGGGAAAAGTCATTTGCTATAAGTCTATGTGTGGGTTTGTTTAAATGAATGGCATTGCTCCTGCAGAGCTCTTAGATCAAGATTCAAATCAGACGTCAAATGATTGGTTCTCTTTCCCAGAGAACAATTAACCTTTATGGGGCACCTCATTGTTTCTGGACAGATCTTTAAGACCACCCTGAGAGATAGATATTATTATCTCTATTTGATAGATGAGAAAACTGGAACTTGCAGAGTAAAAATGACTGACTTTGTCTGTTAGTTGCAATTAGGTAGTTCAAACGTTACTGCGAGGGTCAAACTATGCATCATTGTCACCTAGTATGGTGGGGACGAAACTTTTCTCAGATTTGTAACACATGCTGGCTTCAGTATTGTGCGGGCTGGTCTGCTTGCACCCGGTAGACACCTCCAATTCCTCTGCACCTCACTGGTTTTGGAGCATTAGGCAAGGAACTTGCCAGATTACTGGACTAAATCAGACACCAAAGGGGACATTGCCCATAGACACAATGTCTTGCCAGCCTTAAATTGGCCTGGATAGATAGGCCCACTGACAATCTGGTTTACGACTGCAGTGAGGTGCCAGATGTGGAACCTCTAAGCCAGCTGATCAGAACCCTGGCATTGATACTTCATGGCTTTAGAGGGGCATACGTATGGATGTATGATGTATTTAATGCCTTAAATGTTTTCTGTTTCATGTTTACATATTTTTAAAATTTTTTAGTTGTTAGAGGTCAATAACCAATATCTGGAAAATGCCAGAGTAAGTGAGCGTTTTAAAGCTTCCATGAAAAATTTCAAGATTGAGAAGATAAAGATAATCCAGAACTTAGAGCTCTTGAATAATTTCAAAAGGTTGGTATTGTCCACATTATCAGATTTCCTTATATAAAACTCGTAAGGATTAGTTAAAAGATCCATTCTTTAAAACTTATGTTCATGGGGCGGCGCCTGTGGCTCAAGAAGTAGGGCGCTGGCCCCAGATACCAGAGGTGGCAGGTTCAAACCCGGCCCTAGCCAAAAACTGCAAAAAAAAAAAAAAAAAAAAAAATTAAACAATATAAAAAAACAAAAAAAACTTATGTTCATGGGTTTATTTCAGTAATCAACATTTTCTTCAGGCTCTAGTTGTTTTTTCATTGTATTAACTCAAGCTTTACTCTTTTTGAAAACTTTATTATTTTACAGTTCAATGATTTCATGTGTATATCATTTTCATAAATGTATTATTTTACGGCTGCTGCCTCAAAGTTAGTAGCCTCATTCTGAAAACCACTGGAATAAAATTTAAACTGACTGGGATTTAATTTGGATTAATGTTATTAAGTGGAGTGGAGCAAGAATGTTCTCAGTGTTAAATCTCCCATTTCCTGTATTAGGAAGAAAATGCAGATGACCAACAAAACCGAAAAACTCCTGTTTTATGCAACGAGGCGCGCCTATGTGGAGTCTATCTGTGCGAATAATTTCAACTTGATCTTGCATGAAACTCATGAAAGCAAATATGGAAAAGGTTTGTGCTGGACTAGAGAAGGCAGACTAGTTATGTTTTGTGCATGCTTCTGTTATGAAGTATATGTAATTAATTAGAGTGGTTCAGCTGACTTGGGGCTTGATTGCTGGGACCTAGCCCTGCTTCTCTCTTCTGTTTGTTTCCTGGGAGTGACCAGAGTCTCATACATATTTGCAAACTACTCCATCTGTTGGCTATATTATCTACCATTGCTACTGTGTTCTGGCTATGGCTCTACCTAAACCAAGCCCAGGCCTACAAAGCCATTGGAAGTAGCCTTCTGTTGCTGCAGATGGATTTTAATTAAAGATGGGAAGAAGAGGGCTGTCCCCATCTCAGGCCTCACTGGGTCACCTGGGGCTGACTGTGTCACAGTCTGCCTATATATAAATGTTCCTACGCTTCTGCATGCAACTCAACTTTGTTTAAAAGCTCTGTTGGGGTCAATTCCTTGCCCATGCTATACCCCTGCCTTTGACCTTTTCCAAGACTTTCATATCAGTAGTAAATAACTTTTGTTCCTTCAAATGTACACAATATAAAGGGGCCTCTGCTTTGAGTATCTTTGGTTCATTGGTTCTGACTCAGCTCATTCAACTCATCCTGTGTGAGTTGCATAGATGGGTCCCTGTGTCTATCATGACCACTTGCTTATTGCCCCCGGTGGCTGGCCCCATCAATTTGAGCCCTGCTCTGTATCGTAAACATTTTTTAAAGTGCAAAGAAGTTATGAATATCAGTACGATATTGTTTTTATGCTTAGTTCATGCCCCTCATCTGATTATGTGTCAATAATCTTATAAACTATATGTCTTCTTTTATAATAATTCTTAGCCTATTTTCTGATTATTTCTAGGATACTACTTCGCAGAAGATGCCATCTATTCACACAAAAATTGCCCGTATGATGCTAAAAACATCATTATGTTTATAGCTCGGGTCCTGGTGGGAAGTTTTATTGAAGGACATATGACATACACCAGCCCTCCTCCGGGCTACGACAGCTGTGTGGACACCAGAGGGAGTCCCTCCGTTTTTGTCATATTTGATAAAGATCAGATTTACCCAGAATATGTGATAGAGTATACTGAAGTAGACAAAGCCTGTGTGATTAGTTAGAACTGATGAATACAGTGTCATAAAAATCCGTGAACACTGTTTCCTTACAGGACCAAAGTTTCCCAGATAGTAGTTAAACTTTTATCTTTCCTTGCCCAGTTACCTAATGTCTTAGATCAGCCCAAACTTTGCTTCACATTAGAATCATCCAGAGAGCTTTAAAAATTTCCAATGCCCAGCTTTGCACCCTATGCCAATTAAATCAGTGTTTCTTAAAGCTCTCCTGATGATTCCAATGTTTGGAAAGTTTGCATTGTTTTAGATATAACTGGTAATGGTTGATTTCTAAATTTTCAATAATTGCGGCAGTTAAGTGCTACTGAGATGTAACTGCAGTACTATACCTTAGTGATGAAACTTATTTGGATCACACCTTTTTTTGCTTCTAAACTTATTTAGGGGTCAACCATCCAGGTTAACATTTTCTGGAACACCAAGTGTTGCTCAGAGAGAAGCAACCAAATGGAGCTAGTTGTCCGTTTAGGCCCTTTATATAATTATGACAAACTAGATGCTGTGTCGCAATTGATGTGATCACAGAAAAGGCCTTTATCGGATCATGTTTGCATTTTTAGAGAACTAAGTTTCAGTAACGAGACGCACATGAGCATGACTGATAAACACAAGTGCTATGTAGTGGCTGGCTGCGTCAGATGAACCTCACCAGGAAATTAGGAGCAAGCCATCTTTACTGAAGGGCGGGCCCCCTAAGGAGACAAGATTTGTTTCCTGGTGAGCATAGAATCAGATGTAAAAGAACAATGTCTTAAAGAGGCTTCGTGCCTCCTAGGGGCTTCTTTTTCTAAATACAGAAGGTGCCCAAAAAATGTATACACATTTTAAGAAAGGAAGAAAATTGTATTAAAATCGTAATACTCAAGCCATGTTTGACTTCTGCAATTACAAGAAATATAAGATACAACAAGATAACAAACATTTTTGTTAGATATTGAGTATCACAATTTTAATACAGTTTTTTCCACTTTTAATATGTATATGCATTTTTCTGGCAGCCTCTGTATATCGGATTATATGCAATCGTAGTACAGTTTTTACTAGGACCAAAATGTCTTTTCTTATTATGAATGAAGTTATTTTTTTTAACCTTCTTTTCTCTAACATTCCTTACCAGTCAACATTTCCTGTTACAGTTCATTCCAGGAGACATGTCACAGATAATTAATTGGCATTAGAGTGGATTTTATATTAAGCAGATTTAGACCAATGCAAAGATCTTTTAGAGTGGGGTTCCTTTTGGGCAGTCTTACCACAAATAGGTATTCTCATTCACACATTTTTTTTTTCATGGTATCAATTTTGGATGTTCATTTTTTGACTTTGACCCTCACACTGTAGAGGTGCAATTTATCCAGCTCCTTCTAGCTCCGCATTGGGCATCTCTAGCTGGATATTTCACAGGCATTGCTGACTCAACAGGCCCAAGATGGAACCCTTGATCTGCCTCCCTCACACAAATCATTGCCTATTTTCTGTGTAGAGGTCAATGGCACCACCATCCACCCATCCACTCAAGCAAAAGTACAGAAGCCATCCTTAACCCCTTATTCTCCCTCTTGATACACATCTAAGCTATTCCCAAATCAAGTTTTACCTCTTAGCTGTCTCTGTTCCCTTCCAAATTGTTCTTTACTTGACAGCAAGAGTAGTCATATTTTTTAAACAATTTACTTAGTAATGTTCTTTGACAACACAAATCTGATCAGACACATCATGGCTTCACAATCTCCCTTCCCCACCACTCTACCATTTATTTTCTTCTACACAAGCCATTCTGGCTTTCTTTCAGCCTTGTGGTTCCCATTTTCACCTAGTTCAGTGGTTCTCATTTATCGCTTCTGCCTTTTTTTTTTTAAACGTCTAATACAAATACGTCTTCTTTATTATCCTCGAACTCCAATTCAGAGGTGATCTGGTTCATCTATGCACAATTTTAGAAATACATTGAAAATTAAATAAAACCAATAATCACATAAAAGCTATATAACTTGGGCACAATCATACTAGAAAACCTAATGAAGTAGTCAGATGTTTACACCTAATTCTAAGGAATACATTTAAACTTAGAAGAAGGTAGGAGGTCAGAAACCATTTTGTACAAGGAAGCATGAGAGAATGAAAAAGCAGAGATAGGAGTGGACATCAGAATAAAAGCTAAAGATATAACAACTTAACGTGCGTAGGATAACATCTGCTTGTATGTAAGAGACAGAACGAAGTCACCTTAATTGAAATAAAGATACCATACAAGAAAATTACAGATTACCGAAGCGGAGGAAATGAGGAAATACTATATTCTTTCAGACGAGCTATAGCTCATACGTGAATGTCCAGCGAGACGTTCAAAGTTCGTATAGGGTGCAGAATAACTTCTTATTGTGAGGAACTGTCCAATGTATTGCAAGATGTTCCGCATACTTGGCTCTCACATACTAAATGCCAATAGCACCCCCGCCCCCACCCCAACCCTGGTGACAACCACTATCAAGACCTATTCATTGCTGAGCAGGTATTTTGTAACATCCTCTTGGCTGTTCTGAGTTGATTCATAGATAATACAATTTACTTCCACACATACATTTCTTTAAAAAAAATCAATTTAGGACGGCACCTATGACTCAAGGAGTAGGAGGCTGACCCCATATACCGGAGGTGGTGAGTTCAAGCCCGACCCCGGCCAAAACTGAAAAAAAAAAAAAAGAAAGAAAAGAAAATAAATCAATTTAATGCCCTAACTCTCTATTATAATGGAGAAATAGAAGGTAAAAAAATTGTAATGAAAATAAAATGAATTTCAATTTATAAATGCACAGGCATGACTATGCCATGTAAGACATGAAATAGATGTTTTTTTTCTTACTTACAATGAATAGGTTTATATTTAAGAGCCGTTTAGAGGCTACTTCCTGTGAAGAAGTACAGGAATATGAAAGATTAGAGGTATGGGGGACTCTAGAATGAAAACTACAGGGTGTGCGAAAAGTTGCCATACATAGGAAAACGGGAAATTGTAGCTAAATGTACCTTTATTTACAAAACAGTCTCTGCGTGTTGGCCATCTCTGTCTATACTAACACCAGGTTTTCTCTCCCACTCATGGCGAACATGTTCCAAGGTGTCTGTTGTCACAATTTTCCTATGTATGGAGACTCTTGGAACACCCTGTAGTATTAGGGTAAGTCATAACAGACCTTATCTGTGTATGGCAAAGGAAAGAACGAAATTACCCAACTTGAAATAATAATAGGACAAAACAAATTGCAGTTTGTCTCAGAGGAACAAATGAATTAAATTCTCTGAGACAAACTGTAGGGTCCTACATACATGTCCGGCGGGACATTAGAAAGTCGTACAGGGTACAGAATAATTCTTCGTTGTGTGGGACACACCCATACACTACAGGACATCTGTTGGCCCTGGCAGCATCGACTCAATGCTGGTAGTAGTCCTGAGCTGTGATGACCACAAACACCCATCAATTTTTGAAATACCACAGTGAGAACCACTGACCTAGTTAATGTCTAACATCCTCAGATTAGCCAAACTGTTAATTTCATAAGGAATTCTGTAGAAGAGGTCAGTTCCTTGGTTCCTGTACTTGGAGTTTTTATAATGTTTTATGCCTTGCTTTGTTAATTCGTTCATCTATCCAACTTGAAATTGCCTGCTTTTTGAATTGTAATGTAAGCTCCTTAAGGGCCAACTCTTGTTCTCTGTGCCATGCCCGATGCCCACACTACCTGGATGTTTTCTAAATTGATACATTTACAATTAAATTTGCATTCATTGATTTAGCTAAATTTGTTGAATAAATTAAGCTCAACTATGTATATTTCAGTTGAGTTGTATAGCTTCTTGTTCTCCAGCTACATTTGAACTTCTAATAAACGGGAAGAATTTCGTCCTGCCTCTTGTAGTTGCTTTATTTCTAGGTATCTCCAGAGAAATCATCAACCACAGACATCAGTGTATTCAGCTGGGAAGAGATGACATGTTTTGTCCCATCCAGTTTTAACATCACAAGGTTCCATGACCAAGTAGCCTTTTTATTTTATTTTATTTTATTTATTTATTTTTGGGCAGTTTTTCACTGGGGCTGGGTTTGAACCCACCACCTCTGGCATATGGGGCTGGCGCCCTACTCCTTTGAGCCACAGGCGCTGCCCCGAGTAGCCTTTTTAGCATACTGCCAGGGTGAGGGTGAGACACGGTGATGGAGCTGCCCAGCTTTGGTTTGCACATCTTTTGTCTGGGGACTCAGACGGGGAAGGGCCAGAAGCCGAAGCTGCTAACACCTTCCTCTGGTGTTCATCATCTTCACTATTCCAGGCCTACATCCATATCCATCTATATCCATCACCCCACTTCCATTTCCTTGTGGGAACAGGGTCAGGCCAAAGCACAAAAAGTTAAAAACGTAAATAGTTATCAGCAGAATTATCCAATCTTCAGAAGCCTTCTTCACTCATTGTTTTTTAATCCCAAACGTTTGGGTGGAGAGACAGAGCAAGTTCTGTGACAACACGCAGATTTGATAAAGTGAAGGTAAAACTGCTGTTTGACTTGGGCCTCGATGTAAGTTCAGGTACAGCAAACCCGATGCTGTCAAAGCACTCCCATTCAAATACACGAAAGTGCTGTGACACCTAGCAAGAGCCGGTATTTGAGATTATTGGTCATTTTTTTCTATGTGTTTACTTACTTCATCTTAGTGCTCCCCCAGAAAATCTGCCATTATCTGGTTTCTGGGGGCCTCCTCAGTCCAGCATTTGGTGGAAGCAAAACCAGATAGCAATGGCTTCCCAGCCACACCTCAGCTACTGCAAAGATAACTGCCATGAAAGGCATGCTTAGTCCAGTGCCATGTGTGTGTTAGATACACTGGGTGTTGCAGGACGTGGCTTGGAAAAGGTGCAGGGACAACAGGCAGGTTTCATTTAGGGGGTTAATAATAGACTGAAGTTACAGCAGTGGTACCAGTGTGTGTCCCTGGGGTAACTTGTTCAAAAGCCTGTGCTACAGACATGTGCTGGAGTGGCCATCGGCTTGAGAATGAGCTTCAGAATCCAAGTGGGAGGACATTTCAGGACTTTTTAGGAAATGCTTGAGTCATAAAAGCTCTAATCTTCAAATACCCCAATTTCAACCTCCTCTTTCTCTTTTCCATTTCCTTGTGAACCTGCCCGGCATCTAATGGCTCCTGGTTCTGCCCCAGAATGCCACCTTTCTTAATAATCTGCTCTGGGATCTTAACGTTTTTCCTTCTACACATTTCCCCATGAAAGGTGTCATTTCTTCCCAGACTTCAGGTATGACACACTCCTGACTCCAGCCCCTTTACTTCTGCTAAGGAGTCAAATAACTTGCACAAGGTGTTGTGGCTAATGAGTAACAGAATCGAGACTATGAACCCCAGAGCGCAACTGCAGAGCCCACAGGTTAAGTGCAATTATCTGGGCAGTGGGCTACCTCTCCCCTCCCCCGCTTTCCCTGTTAACTTCTGGTCTCTTCTCCATACTCTGGCTCCAACTTCCTCTCTACTCTAAATCACCACCCCTCATCCTTCATCATTCATTGTGGACAAACCACATACCTTTCCTACCCTTAGATGACTGTAGCCTCTGTCTTCATCATCTTCACTATTCCAGGCCTACATCCATATCCATCTATATCCATCACCCCACTGTCATCAGTCAGACTTCCTCCAGGACTGCTCTTTCTGAAATCTTACTTTGTCGTTGTTTTGAGACTGAATCTCATTCTGTCACCCTGGGTAGAGTGCTGTGGTGGCATGGCTCACAGCAACATCAAGCTCTTGGGCTTGAGCAATCCTCTTGTC